AAGAGAGAGATGGTTTGAAAAAGAGATAAATATGGCAAACATTCTGACAAAATTAACTTCCTTTAGACTCTTTCATGAAGCTCCAAAAACTCAACAAAGGAAAAACCAAGAACTGAATTGTTTTCTATCATGGACAAAGATGACAATATACTTAGCATGTCTTTAGCTGAGGTGTTTCCCTCAACTAGTGAAAGTTGTCTGCTTGTCATAGACTGTGGTTTCCTCACTTATGCATCTTGCATTTCTAACATTCTCTTCTGTGACTGGTCATTGGAAGGTAAACATAGGCTTAATTTGCCAGTCTGACTGATAAGGCACAATGTTGAGGAATTACCTCTATGGGAGGAAACATCAGTTAATCAGAGGAAACATACATTTCACTTGATGTCTGCTTTGACTCTAAATCTTGATGCAACTGGATACTTTCCTGTTGTAGTCATTCAAAGCCTTGATATTGGTATCTGGATAATTTTAGCCCTTTTCAGTCATGCAAAAATAGATTTAAAATGGCATACGAGGAAGAGAGTATGCAAGCCATCTTCCTTCATTGTCACTTTGATTGTATGGAAAGTGATGGTTTTCAAGAGGAGACCCTGAGTCCTCACTTGTTGGCAGGTCTTCCACATGTAGAAGAGTCTTTCTTCAGAACCATTGCTTTTTGTTCATCAGCATGATGGAGAAGTGTAGGGTTAAGGTTAGGTATTGTTTTATACTCCTTTTTCGTGCCCCAGTGGGGCTTATAGGATAGGGCAGACTGTGCACAGAGGGTCAGCCTGGAGTAGTGGCTTGCGTATTGGACTATGACTCTGGAGACCAGGGTTCAAATCCATGCTTGGCCATGGAACCCTCTGGTTGACCTTGGGCAAATCACACACTCTCAGCCTCAAAGAAAGGCAAAAGCAACCCCCCTCTGAATAAATCTTGCTAAGAAAGACTTGTGATAGTTTTGCCTTAGAGTCACCATAAATTAGAAATGTTTTGAAGCTACACAACAACAGACTGTACATGCTTGAATAGGGTTGGCTGTGCAAGTGAAGATGATATCTATCATATGCTACTGACTGGGGTTTTGGATTAATCATCCAGGAATCAGTGAAGTATGATTTACCATCTGCAAAGAACTGGTAGGAGCATACACTGTTAAATTTGTTAAAAATGGTGATAGTAAAGGCCTAAATCCTGTTGTTACTCCTGACAAAGAGACCCATTGAATCATTGGATTTATCTATGTGTCAACTCATCATTCAAGAATAAATTCAATGAATTTATTCTAGTTAGACCTAACCAAGAGGATTCCAGTCAAAATTTTGTGGGACTTTTTAAGATTCAAACTGATAAATGATTAGAACAGAATGTGCCAACTGTATAACTATGGCTGAGAAAAAGAAAGTCTCAGTTATAGATGGAATGGTTCCTAGGGACAGGAAAATCCAAAACAGTTGGAAATGAGTATGAAATGTTGAGCCCAACAAATTGAGGCTGAGTCCACTTGGGCAAAGAAAATAAATATGATTATATCAGTAACTAGGGGGTTACAGACTGCCAGAAATAGTGCAAATTGAGGCCACTTTTAGGGTTAGGGTTAGGGTTAGGGTTAGGGAATTATGGGAACTGTAGTTTATTGTGGCACCAGAGCTCTCTGACAGAGAAGGCTCAGTGTCTCAGAAAAAAACACCAATTCCCATGATTCCCTAGCACTAACCCTAACCCTAAAAGTGGACTCAATTTGCACTATTTCTGGCAGTCTGCAACCCCCTAGGTCTCTAGGAACAATTGCGAAAAGATGGGGGGGGAATCTGAATGATATTGTTATAGATTGCACTGCAATAACATTATTATTATTTTTCTTGTTGGATGGTATCCTGTATAGCAGTTAAGAATGAGTCACCTAGAGTTACGTACTCATGACTTATGTAAAGGGATCTTGTAGCACTGGGTTGTAGCATAAGATTTCATAAGACGTTATCACACGTGGCCCACAAAGCGATAATAAACTGGAAATGACACATTCTGAAAATAAACCAAAAATAAACCTTGATTCCGCAAATGGTTTTA